GGTGATGATCTAATAATTTTTTCAATGCCTTATATTGGCTATAGTGGGACACAGTGATAAACTATAAATATCTTGTTTAATATTTTCCAAGATAATCCTATTCTTTTTCATTGTGTCCAATGGTTGCCAAATTGGCTATAGTGGGACACGGTGATGAATTACAACTGTCTTCTTTAATATTTTCGAAGTTAATCATTTCCTTCTTCATTGTGTTCAATGGCTGCTAAGAACACATGTAAAAGATTATTAGATTATCACTCTTTAAAAAAAAAAGTCGATGAGGTAGGCGTTTTTTTTTTTAAACGGAACAATTGACTATTTCGCTTTTGTTCTTATTGATGAGGGAGGGACTGTCTAAAAATGACCTAAAAATTTTTTTAGTGCCCTGCATTGGCTATAGTGGGACACAGTGATAAACTATAAATATCTTGTTTAATATTTTCCAAGATAATCCTATTCTTTTTCATTGTGTCCAATGGTTGCCAAATTGGCTACTGTGGGACACAGTGATAAAGTACAACTGTCTTTAATATTTTCTAAGTTAATCCTTTTCTTTTTCATTGTGTTCAATGGCTGCTAAGAGCACATAGAAAAAATTATTAGATTATCACTGTTTAAAAAAAAATCAATGAGAGAGGCCGTTTTTTTTTTAATCCGAAAAATTGATTATTTCGCTTTTGTTTTTATTAGTGAGGGAGGGACTGTTTATATTTGTCTAGTAATAGTAAATATTGTATAAAAACTGGTTTAATTTTATAGTTTTTTTAAAGAAATGTATCTGAAGTCACAAAATTGCATTGTGTTATGCTGTTAAAATAATTGATGCGGCAAAAAAAAAAAATTTGTTTTTTCATTCCCGCATCAATATTTCCCGAATTTTCCCCGCGGGGGTGGGTAGGGGAAGGGGGAGTGAAAATCTAACAATTTTTTCAGTGCCCTAAATTGGCTATAGTGGGACACAGTGATAAACTATAAATATCTTGTTTAATATATATTTATGTATTGTTTTTCTTTAGAGGGCCTCTTTAAGTCAGCTGTACTACTGTAGTGCAGCTGTTAGAGCTACCCTCGTGAAATAAAGTTGAATAATAATAATAATAATAATAATAATAATAATAATAATAATAATAATTTCAAAAATAATCCTATTTTTCATTGTGTCCAATGGTTACCAAATTGGCTATAGTGGGACACAGTGATGAAGTACAACTGTCTTCTTCAATATTAATTAATATAAGCCATTTATGAGATTTTGTAATGGACTGCTTTTTAATTTTAGACGACCTAATTTTTCCCATTGTGTATTTCTTCTTACAAAAGCTTTCTTATCAAAATTTCGCTTTTGTTTTTATTGATGAGGGGGAGGGACTGTTTATATTTGGCTAGTAATAGTAAATATTGTGTGGGACACAGTGATAAACTATAAATATTTTGTTATTATTTTTCAAGATAATCCTGTTCTTTTTCATTGTGTTCAATGGTTGCCAAATTGGCTATAGTGGGACACAGTGATAAAGTACAACTGTCTTCTTCAATATTAATTAATATAAGCCATTTATGAGATTTTGTAATGGACTGCTTTTTAATTTTAGACGACTTAATTTTTCCCATTGTGTATTTTCTTCTTACAAAAGCTTTCTTATCAAAGTACCGATCGGACGGATATGTTACCAAAAAAGAAGAAACTCTTACTTTTATCTTTTTGATCATCGACACTGCTTTAATTTGATTCGCTAATAAGTTTAGTAGTTCTTCCCATTATGGGCTCCCTAGCTTCCAAAAAATGTTTCCGGAAGTCATAGTCTCGTTTGGTCCAGGAATATTGTGTTTTTTCCACATTGTTAAAATTAATAAAATTCTGAAATTCTCCAATTACAGATAACATGGTAAAGTAAATTTATGTATAAGGATTGCTTTGTAACATTTTAATGTATTCCAATGTAATTTTCATCATATTATTTATTATAGCTCTGGAGTTGGAACATGACCGAAGTCCGTTTTTGGTATACCAAATATTCCTCGTTTTCGGTAATCCCGTTTACAAACTGACTGCTGCCGCACTATCATACTCCGGTTTCGAATTTGGTGTTTGATCCTGGGAATGGGATGCTTGGATTTCTACGTACGGTAATCACAAAACCAGTATAATATGGAACGCCACTGGTGCCAAAATAGATTTTTTTTTAAAATAGTTTCCACCAAGACAAAAAAATAGTGACTGGAACCCAGTATGAAGATGGCTGAGGCAATTTTTTTCCCCGTAAAAAATCTCATGAATTATTCATAATTTTCTCATACTAGGCGAGGCGATGCACGCAGCTCTTATAATCGCCCTAAAAAATGATATTGCATAACAGCCCCCCCCCCCAAAAAAATAGGGTAGGCAAGGTAGGGTTTTTTTTTTTTTTTTTTCTGCCACAATAATTAGAAAAGGCCTAAATTTCTTTCTAAATAACTAGTGGATAAATTCCTTTTCAATTGGTACAATACACGACCATATTTTACACGGTATGTTGGCGGACCTTTCCTGTAGTCTGACATACACTAGTATCAAAAACCGTTGAAAAAAGATATTGTAGGAATTATTCGGGGTAAGGGCCTTTTTTTCATAAATTGGCCCACCTACGTATTATGTTTGAGGAAAATTCCTATTCCTGGCCCTGTTATTAATCTTATTGGTCAGTATTGACACATAGAAAAGTCCATTGTGAACGCACTCGTATGGTGTGTAAATTATAGGCCTAACGCATACTGGCGTCTGGTTCAAATCTACTGTACTGTGCTCCTGGGCTACCTGTATATTTTTAAACAAAGGAGTGAATTCACAAATTAATTTGTTGATGGATATATCTTAGTTTAAGTAATATACTTGGGGAAAACATTAAGATGTATTGCCCCTTGAAAATGAAAAAAAATAATTTTTTAAGAAAATTTAAAATAACTTGCTCATTTTTCATTTACATACAAATTAACTTCAGCATAACAAATACTGAATTTAAAAAATGTGTACCCTGATTTTAAACCTGGATGATAATTATAATAAAAATAATAAAACACTTCCAGTGACTGGAAGTGTTTCTATCATTTTTCGCTGTAAAATAATGGGTAAAAATTTCTTAAATAAACTAAATGTTCAAGTTGGTGATTTTTATGGTATAGTAATAAGTAATTTGAATAATTCAAAATTGCATATACTGATTGCAGGTAACTGTTTTATCTTTGTTAGGTCACAGTCGGCAATTATAATATAAGGTTGCCCTTGCGAATACTGTATCAAATACAATGGATAAAGTGTGTAGTAAACATCATAATGGGAATCAATGCACACAAACACAATACTGCACTATATACATAATAGTTTTTTTAATTTTTACAACCGTAAGTACAATATCATAATTTTATAATATTTTGTTATTTACTTTTTATGAAGGCAATATTGATTGCTGGTATCTACATTCCAGCACTTATACATACATTTAAAAATAAAAAAAATAAAACTCAAAATATTTAGTACTTTAGAGACTAGTTTGACAGTACACTAGGTTTCGTGCACACCAGTGCACTTCTTCTGGTGACCTGAAGAATTTTACTATGTGCATGAAAGCTAATGTACTGTCTTTAAAGTACTAAATGTTTTTTTTGAGTTTTTGAGCTCATCTAGTTTTATTTAAAAATAAGCATGTCAAACATGCATATCTCCATTAAAATACAGAACGCGCTCTTTTAAGGCTTTCTATGTAAAAAATTCACCCACTTAAGGACACCCTAATAAAAGGACACTTTTAATTCAGTCATGAAGCAAGTGAAAATATATCTTTTAACACAACAGCCAACACTTATATAAAGGGGAGTCCTAAGAAGGCATTTATTTTGGTCACAAACGTGTCTGTTTAATAGATGTTCCACTGTATTCACATAGGACATTGAAAGCAAAACATCTTAATACATTCAGCTAAAAAATCAAAAAACCAAGGTTCTAATGAATCAGCAAACCCGCACCTCAGCCCCACATGGTTAGAGGTAAGTGAAAAAACGTCCTAGGTTTTCTCAATTCCAAATGCCTGAAAATGACCTTCTCTCATGCCAGTTTTCCTGGCTTAGAAAATGATTCCAGTTTTTTTTTTCCATGACAAATTTTACCCTTGACTCCTTGACAGCTGGCCCATCTTCTGATAACACCCCTGCTGGAAAGGAGTTTATTTTTGCCAACATTTACACATCTATTTTGATGCCCTATACAACCTTTCCCTCCTACATCCTACAGTTCATAATCAATGCAAGACACTAGTTTAGAGCATGGTTCAATGAATTTGGTAGCTGAATGAAGGAATTTGAAAACAGGTAGAACAATGGAGCCTATATTTGGTAACACTGTCAAGGCGTCATGTTATTCTCGGCCTTTCATTGCCCTAACTCAAAATAAATGAATCAGTACAATTTTTACTTGTATTAGAATTGTTTTCAAAATAAAAGGTACATAAAAATTTCTTCTAAGGGCGTACTTTATTTATGAAACCAAAGAGTAATTCATTCACCGTAGTCAAACTATAATGATGTAATTATTTGCCTTTTCAAGATTAAAAATAACAGAAATTCATTTGAAACCAAACAGAAGTTAAAAGTGTGCACTCGACTCATTTTTCAAAATCGCGCAACATATACTTTGCTGTAGTGTCGCACAGAACACGACATTTGCTCAATTAAACACATTCTTGCCATCCATTGCTACTAATAATAATAATAACAACAATTCACTCCCTTTTATAGCGCTTTTACAAAGACCAATGTGCTTTACAGAACTCATGGACCGGTTACCTAGGAAAAAGGTCTGTTTTTTTAAAGTAGTTAGCGATGAGGAATTACATATTGAAGACAAAAGATTTTTTTTCCCAAATATCTGGTCCAAGCTTGGAGAAAGAATGTTCAACAGATGATGGGGAACAAGCAAGCTTGGTCGTATCTAGTTTGGATCTAAGTCCTGATCTATGACATGTATACAGTATCATTAAACATTTAACACAAATACATTGGTGCCCGAACATTTACACAATTAAAACAACTAAAACCTTAAATTGTACTCTTTGTTCAACTGGCATTATGTTCTTAATGACACTTTAAAGTACATTACATATTTTACACATTTAAGCGACTACTGTGCTTCAGTAATTCACATGTCAATGACCCTACAAAAATATATATTAGCAGTCCAATAGCTTTGCTTTATACAGTTCTATACATACAGTACCAGTAAATACGAAAACTGCATATTTGTTCCAATATAATAAAGTAAAACAGCTTTCATCAATATTCAATTAATAAAACTTCACCTTTAATACAACAAATCATTTTATTCATAGGCATACTTTTAGAATGTCAAAGGTCAAATGTTAAAAATATTAAATTTTTACATCACATAGTTTTATGATTTCAACAATGGTCTTAATCTATAAATAGATGTATAATAATAGTATTTTGTTGAATATTAATACAGTATATGGCTCTAGTATTATTTGATAGTAAATTTTCACCATTAAGTCTTCATTTTGAGTTCGAAAGTTGTTCTTCAGCATCATCGTTATCATTTGTCCGTTGGTCCTCCTCTTCAAATCCCTTGATTGCACGATATCTTCTAACCACCATCTGCCAGTCAATTACATCTTCTATTCGCTTTGGTCCTGAGTTTTGTACTTGAATAAATGCTGAAAGAGTGCAAAATATCAGTGATATAACTGAATAACGAATATTTATATTGCAAAATAGTGCAAAATATCAGTGATATAACTGAATATTCGAATATTTATATTGCAAACTAGTGCAAAAATAGTGCAAAATATCAGTGATATAACTGAATAACGAATGCTCATAATACAGAATATTTAACACGCACAATGAGAATTCAGTGGCAGTTCCAGAAATTGAAAATAGAGGAGACCAAGGAAAGGAATTTCACCAATGGAGAGTCTAGACTCCCTATTCTTTGTCAACATTTGTTTTTGTCGATCATGTGTGGAATGCTCCATTTATATAGTATGGAGAATATCTACTACACTTGTAATTTTGAAATGTTTAATATCAAACAATAAAACAAAGACAAATTTTCAACTTATGGTCGACTTGTGTGAAGATAACTGGGTATATAATAATTGAAAAACGAAGCTTGTATATCCTCAACCATTTGCAAAAATGCCAAAAACCAAATCACAAAGAAAAGGAAAAACATTTTAAACACTAAACACCATTTAACTTTTACTTTTTAGATGTACTGTATTGTCTTGTCACTAGTTGATTTCTTTTTGTGTTAATCTATAAATTTAAAAAAAATTATGCTTTATCTTGTTTTGTACTGTTTGAATATTTTGATGTTTTTCTCAGATTTTAATGTTGCTCTTAAATTTTATATATTCTCTGGAGTTTTGTTATTTTGATGTTTTTGTATTGAAAATCTGTTAATTCCATTCCTCTTTAATTCTGTTTGACCCTTTCTCTCTATTTTATCTTTTAATCAATTGATTTATGAATTCAATTTTAAATGTTTTTGGTGTCAATTTTTCAACTATATTCATAGCATTTACTACTTATATTTTCATGATCTTGTTGAATTTCACTTTTTTACAAGTTTTCAATATTTCATATATTTTTGTAATCTCTTGATGTAAATTGTAATCAGTTGTTGCAATTCAGTTTATAACTGCAATGCATTTTGGAAATAAACCTTAAATTAACTTGAAAAATTAACTGGTACGTGGTAGTGTTATTAATGTCCGCTAAGTTTCCGCCTAATTTTAAAGATCTTTTGAGTGATTGGTGATAGCAGAGATCCCAAGTCTCCCGAAAATTTGCGGGTTCTCCCGATTTTTGAGGCCGTCTCCCGCCCTCCCGATTTTTATTAATATCTCCCGAAAATTTCACGAAAAATGTGATTTCCACGATGTCATAGAGCAATGAAACAAAATTTCTTGTCTTAAGCCAATATACTATGGCGCTCGCTCAGCCATAAAATGTCATAAACAAGGCCAGGGAGTTGTTATTTAAGTTGTTTATCAAAATAACAACTCCACGGCAAGACAGGCCTAGATCCGTGGTGTTTATCCTCCATGTTACGATCTTCTGCATCCAGTGCCGACCTCATTCAATGAGATGGCTGTCAGTTGAGTAAATAAATTTCAACAAATTAACGAAATCAGAAATCACTTGGGAATGGATGGGGCCCCAAGTTTTCGCCGCGAAGATTTGGAACAGAATCGGTGCATAAAAAATACTTTTTCTTTCAAGTAAGCTTCAGTTCTTTAATAAAAATACTAAAAAATTATAATTAATAGGTTTTGGTACTAAGCAGTCTTCCGAAAAATGAAGTTTATTTTATATCGATCCCGAAATACATGTAGGGCTTAGGCCTAGGCTGGCTCTATCTGCAACACTGCAGGGTATGTACTGTATGTGTGTTGTGTTGGGTGGGCATCTGTGTGTAGTGTCTGTGTGTAGTGGTGGTTGTGACTCTGCGGTATTAGGCCTATTACGCACGTATAGATGGAGCCTAGCGAGGCAGGATTTAATGTTTTTTTCATGGCATTATGTACCAGTTATTATAGGCTAGACATATATAAATGCCGACTTAAAACATGTAGTATGATTTACTAACTAAATTAAAATATATATATTTTTTTAATTTTTCAGTAAAACGTGTGAATCTTGCAAGTTGCAGTTACCTTGCTAGAATTCTATGTTCTTTGATGAGATGTAATAAATCAGCCGTAGCCTCTAACATGCTAATGAACCAAGCAAAGCCTTGTTCACTGCTGCCAAGAACGCTTTACTAGCTAAAGGCTAAATAAATAATAATATTTATAAATTTATATTTTAGGCCAACTGCAATGTGTAAACAAATGTAAAATAAAAGTAAACAAATTGATGAAAATTGTTTGTTTTCGTCATTTTGTGTAATACTTTCATGTTGCACAGCGCGTTGTAAGGCGTCACAGCTAATTACGGAAATGGTACTCTCAGACTTTTTAGATTAATTAAATGAGCCTCCTCTTTAATCCGCCTGTAAGAATATATATACTGTAGTCTAAAAAGAATTGGTATTAAGCTTCCAACATGTTCTTTCCTTCATAACACCATTAACATATTCTTAGCAATAGCAGACCCTTAAATAAAGGTCTCTAAATAAAGGGCCTCAGAATAAAATCCTGAAACCCATTTCTATCATTTATCTGCAACTTTTTCATATTTTATCTTAATCTGTTTACGTTTTTGCCTCTTTATTGTACTTTACTGTATGTTTATTTGGCCAGGTGTTTAGAGGATACCTGCACCTTGTGTTGGGCTCTAAGCCATGGTGACCCCTTGGCACCCTCTAACCATTTCCTGATTTGTGATTTTTGTGCTGAACATGTGAAGCCGTGCAATCAGTGGGCACAACGGTCGTCGACCAACGCGATTCTATCAACACAACGTGACGACATGTGCGCAACAGATCGTTTTTAATGATTCGTTAAGACTGCCACCAAAAATCAACAGACGGCATCGCGCCGTCTAGCGCTCACAGAGAGCAGAGTTAGATTTGTCGTGTGATGGTTGTATGAGGCAGTGAGTGCCTAGCTTTATAAGGAAAATTTATAAACGAATCACCAAAACATTATTTGTTTCAATCTATGAATTTGATCCTATTAAATGAGCTATTTTCATTGACTATTTTAATGTTTTTTTTATTATATGATAATTTTTTTTTAATAGGACATCAAATGTAATGACTTTACCTCTATCTGGAGCAACTTGAGGGTTTCTTCGAACTTTGCGGAAGAACCCTCCGATACCCCCACTACTCTGTCCCTGATGGTGGTCATCCATGGAACGTGTATCGGACATTGTATCATCAAATTCATGCTCTTCTTCCTGAAAATGGGCCTGTGCTTGAGGTCCACATATTTTACCTAAAAAAAAATTAATATTGTATACAGTATTTTTGCTGCGCAATAACATTCATGTATTTAAAATAATTATTAGTACATTACTAATGCATGTAGTTTTACATTCTCACTTGATGTAGATATAATATATATTGAATACAAATATATAATCTATGTTATATATTAATAATTTACTGATGCCAGGTATAGAAATATACAATAGCGGCATTTTCAGCGGCAGTTCCAGGATAAGAGACGAAGATCAATTGGCTATGAGAAAAATTGATAGAAAAAATTGAGGCCATTATAATATTGATTAATATTATTAATACCTTGGATAACAGGGGAAAACATATTCTTATTAATGTTAACAAGAATAATAATAATATATTAAAACTAATGGAAAGTTTTTAAAAACATGAAAGTACAAAGTTAGGCATACCTCTATGTTTTATCATCAGCTTTCCATAAGTTATCACTTTAGTAAAGAGGTTGAGAGGAGCAGGAGTTGCAAACGTTTTATTCATCTTGCGAATTAATTTCGCTCTCGCAAATTTCCATTCTGTGTCAGACTGTGCCTGAATTCGTTGATAAGTATCACTCATCATAGCAATCAACAAGTTAATTAGAACAATTAGTGTCACAATAAGGTATGTTCCAAAAACTATTTTAGTCAGTGTCAACGTAAATGATGGATTTCTTGTCACTGGTGGAAGTGAATCAGGCTCAACTAAACCAAACACCGAAAAAAACAATATTTCCAATGTATCCAACACGTTACGTGCATCCGTTACGGCACCATATTCACTATCCGGTTCTTCCTCATAAACTGGCTGATATACAGCTGCAAGGTGAAGCATAAAACCGAAAAGGAAAATACACAGAATCACCATAAACTTCACCAAATCCATCATTAAATCTCGGATGATTATACCCCATGGTCCAAACAAATGATGCACAGAGAGAAACTCAAGAAGTTGCGCAAATGACAGCAACAAACACCATGCGTAAAGCTGATTCCGTGCGTAAAATACTTCTTGTTTCGTTTTTTTATCAGGCGCAATAATACCAAGATGTACAGTACAGCCAATGGCCGCGATTATCAGGATTATTACTCGTATCCACCCCAGTCCTTGACGATCACCTGGATTTGTAATTTCTGACATTAACAATCCTGAAAACCACGCAAGAAGAAGCCATTCATGCCATCTTGGAATAAAACTTGGATTTGCAATAAAATCCTCAATGTAACCTGTATAAACTGTTGTTAGAACAAGCAAGACAATTAAGAAAATATGTGAGACTAGATAAGACATGTACTTAATTATTGGTAGTCTATTGAATCGCTGTTTCAGAGGTAAAGAGAACACGATCCAAACTGGCGGCAGAAAGATGAACGTGAAGAACAGAAGAATAATCCTCCAGCTGGCCCAGTCCAGACCCCCCATCCAAATTACAGACAGGTAACGCTGAACAGATGGATGCGACACAACCTCTTTCTGCTCACACTCTATCAAGACGTCTAAAAAAGGCATACCCCGATTATCAGTGGAACGCAGTAACTGGCTTGGTCCTTTTAGTGATGTACTAACAGACAACAGATCTACAGCAATCTCTTCGCAGAATGCAGCTGCTGCTAGAATATCTTTTGTACGCTCCTTTTCCTTTGTCGAAAGTTGAACAAAAATTTGTGACAAGCGCACCGCGATTTCAATTGGCGATGGAGAACGCAGAACAAATTCTTGAATCGATATATTTTGAGTGTACCGTCCGCAAACCATGAGATCAAATATAAACTGAAAAAGATGTACAAAAAAAAAAATTACAACACAATTACACAGTTGAAGCTTGTAGTTAAATTTTTGTTTGTTTTCTAGGCCTCACGATTTTGTGAGTGACCATGCTGCTTTTAGCTTCTCAGGGCATATTTGTCTGAGTAAGTCAATAAAGAAGATGTGTTGAGTTAGAAAATCTGAATAAAATCTTAACATTTAATTGCTAACTTAATATAATAAATTAGGTTATTAGTCTTAAAAGAAAAAAAACAACTCAATAGTTTCCCTTCCAATTAACAATGCATAACAATATACTTCTAAAATTTGTGCATAAACCTCAGGATGGTGAATGTGGCTGGTATCAAAGAGTGTAGAACTGCAAGAAGTAGGATATATGTTCCGCTGGAACATAACATATATCCTATTTCAAAAAGTACTGTCACGAAGGGGTGTGCTCATAAAAGAAGGGTTTCAAGCAAAATCTATTCGTATTCTAATAGGGCACCCCCCTATTTTGTAGTAGTACTTTTATTTATCGTTCCATTGCGTCGATGGTCCAATTCTGAACTCTTTGCTGGTATTTGTAGTCAAATAGGCACAGCCTCCTCATGGAATGCCCCAGGTAGAATATTGTTTAATTCCGTTTCTCTGTAATTCTTTTTTTATTTTTGATGGTTGAACTGTATGTTTCTGTCTTTTTACTTTAACCCTGGTAATTGTTATATTTTTTGGTGTTAAGTGATTGATTCTTAAGTGTTTTATATGTCCGCTTTTTACATGTATTTTTATATATTGTGTAAAATGTAAATTCAACTACTGAAAAGTTGCAATAGATGTTTTAATTCCCTAGTAAAAAGTTGTAAATTGGTGAAAAGTAATTGTTTTGAATTGTGTTTCATTGGGAGTCAGCAACTTATTTGATCACACTATCAAATTTCATGTGCCAAATCTGTGACAAGGTCCACAAAACGAACATTTGAGTAGATACTGAAAATGTATTTATTTTTTCTGCGAAGTGAGTTTCATGAACGAAAATACACCACAATATCGGTAAAATTAATGTTGAAATAACAAATATAATTTCTGTCTAATGTTAGTGCAAAACATCATTAAGCCTTTGTAATCACTGCATGACGCACAATTATTATGGCACGTGATCATTATCATAACACGTGTGTGGGCAATTTTCACATGCTGACGGTTAATTATGGTTTGGTAGAACGCCGATGCCAGATTTTTATGTCCCGAGATGTGCGTCCTTTTGTTGAATTGCCTTGGTTAGAATTAACAAAAAGAGTCTTTCTAATATCGGCCATTGGCTAGGGTTCTGTAGAAGTCCTGACATTTGACCTTGTCTTTTTAAATACTGTTGATTTCATAGACTTACCTTCTTATCATCCATCAGGTTTTGAGAATTAAGATCTTTCTTCATGAGATAACTCAAAACATCGTAGTGTTGAGCTGTTGCAGCATAACAAATTGGAACTTTACCATCCTGCAATGAACGATCAAATTAAAATTCAGTTACAGGTACAGTCACCTACATTAATACGTACAGTAATTCTAAAAGTCACCCTGTAAATAATAGACCTTTCCATTAAGCCCTGTTCTTTGAATATTGTGGCTAAGGTCCCACAAACGACAACGTAAAAGCATACGCACACACGTGCGATTGTAGGACAAAATGTGTGTTTGTAGAACACGCACATATTTATGGCCCTATTCTGGCCAGTTGTAGTTTGACTGACACACCGGGTATGTTGAACTTTGACTTTTCTACCGTTGTAAACATAGGACAGGGCAACTTATGATTTAATCAGACTTTATTATATGCATGTATACAAGCATTTTTTACCAGTGTCTTTTCATTTATTTATTTATTTATATTTTTCACTAGATGATTTTTCTAATGTTTTTATTGCTGTAACAAGAAACCTACCTTTGATTCAAACTTAGGAGATGCACCACTTTCAACAAGTAATTTGACAACTTTTAAGAATCCAACTTTCGATGCATAGTGTAAAGCGGTCAAACCACTCTAAAGACAAAAACACCAGTAAAATATAAATAGTAAATAACATGATACTAATAATTAATTTCATGTGTCCTATTCTTAGGATTGATATATTTTATAATTATTAAAAAAAAACAAAAACCGAAAGTTAGTATGTAACCAATTAATAGTGTACCTTATCGCATGTGTTAATGTCTGACCCTTGACCTAACAAAAGTGCCACCATCTCATAATGACCATTAGCGGCTGCTATGTGCAGGCACGTCCGACCTTTTTTATCTTTTATATGAAGCTGGTTTGTAGACTTGCTTAGCAACAGGCCAGCCACTGCCAGATGTCCACTTTGTGCAGCTAAATGCAGTGGTATAATTCCCTACGAAAAAAAACAACATTTTAGTATATTTCATTTCATTTACTAATTCAAGCTGTAATGTTTGGAAATATGTGGATGATTTAAGCATTGGACAAGTCTGTCACTACAATAGCAACCCAACAATCCATAATGATGTTCAGGATTTAATTGAATGGTCCGAAACAAATAACTTAAATTAAATCTAACGAAATGCTTTCAGAAAACACCCCCCACCCCTCATTAATAATAATAATATGTCGTTCTTATATAGC